GTTTAATTATGAATAAAAAAGTGCATATCAGAAAATGTCATCTAGGTGTTGTGGTTGTATATGCAAGTAGAAATTCTTAGGCTGGTGATAGTTTCACCTTACTCTCTAGCAAATGGAGGTAACAGAGGAACTATATTAATGCAACTCTGGGGAAAAAGTTATTCTGTTAGATGACATGAATGAATGGGTGGGAATGAGAAAAGAAGATATGGACAAAGTGACTGGGCCATTTGGAGACCCAAGAATGAATGTGATTGGTTGCTGAGTATCTGAGAATGGTTTTGAGTATCTGCTTAGAAAAAGTTGTTTGTTTGAGTTATGAGGTTTAAGCAAAAGACTACAGTATTCATACAAGCACATAATGAAATACTAAGTATTAATCTAAAAGCATTATTGATTTCATTATGAGGAAGGATTCATAGAATTAGTGATCAGGGGTGATGAGTTGTAGGAAAGGCCATTTTTTGGTACCTCCAAAAATGGATCTTGAGAAAAAATGACATGGAAGGAAAGGAAAGAAAAGGGAGTAAAAAAGAAAGAAAGAAAAAGAACAACTGCAGGAAGAAAAAGAACAAGTCCTGTATAAAAAAAAAAAGATAAATGAATTTCCCAACAAAATGAATGGACATGAGGGAAGAGGATGTGGAAGCTGCTTGGAACATATGAAGAGAACTATATTTTATGGAGGTCACAGAAGTGCATGGAGTTACTGTAATGGGAAGGATGAAAAAAGATGTTGGGTGAAGTGAGAAAGTGGGAAAATGCATATAAGAGAATGCTGCAAAAATGAGGACGAGAGAATGTATAATGTGCATATATAGAAAAATATAGTTACAAAGAATGTAATCAAAGAGAGAATGGAGTAGTTGCAAGAGGCAAAAACTGCAGACAGATTTTGATGGAAATAAACAAATTGTTTCAGACGTGAGTGAAGTAGGCTAACAAGGGGCCTCCAGCAGAGTGAATGGAATTAAAACTAAAAGCAATATAATGATTTGGGATTAAACTGACATGAAGGGATGCTGGAAAGAATATTTCAGATATTTGTACGGAAACAATAATGTCATGTTAAAGAGTAGAACTGAAATGAATGCTATAATATTAGAGTCTGAGAAATATTTAATGAAAATGAAGTCATAAGTGCTGGGAGAATGCTGAAGAATGGAAGGCTCCAGAATAGATGGTATAACTGGAGAAATATTAAAACATGGGTATAGTGTGTTTCCTTAGTTTACTCAGAGTGCCCTGCAAATGTTTGGCAGAATTCTCATTAATTCTGTGTGAAAGGTAACAGTGGACAGTATTTGGGAAGTGCAGCCTGGGTTTATGCTGAGCACGGGAAGTGTAGCCCAGATTTTTCTACTTCAGCAAGTCACTGAGAATATGGGAAGGAAAATTTCACATCTGCTGATTTAGAGAAAGCACATGAGAAGCGAATAAGCAGGAATAAAGGAATGCTTTCTACAAATATGGAGTTGAAGTTCAGTTGCTGAATGCAATAAGAACAGTATATAATGGAAGTACAGCATGTATCTGAATGAAATGCTTAGTGAATGGTTTAGCACTGAGCAGGAAGACAAAGGTGTATGATGTCCACTTGGTTGTTTAATGCATATATGGATACATGTAAATGGAATGATTGTGATGTTAGAGACGCGTCACTTGGAGATATGAATGTACACATACTTCTACTGTATATGGAGATGATCATGTGTTTTTAACTAAGAACCCAAATCTTGGCTTTGCCAAATGCTCCTCCCCCCACCTCAAATCAGACAACATTCCTGCTTCTGACTTTTGTGTAGCAGTTGTTAATACCTCTTTTTGATACTTCAGGCCAATCTTCTGCAAGCATGTGGCCTAGGTGAATAAGTACCCTGTAGTATCTTCATTTTTATTTAAATTATAATTTTTCTATGGTATTCCATGAATATTTTATCCCCCCCCCCTTCTGCTACTAACAATTTAAGCTGGACAAATTAAAAATAAAGAGATGTGCTTAAGTCCTTTCTGAAATACTAAACAAATGGAATCTGATCTTTAAACTGCATATAGAAATCATATAATTGTCCAAGCTTCACACTTGTGATGCAGGAGAACATCCTTTCCTTTTCACTTATTCAGGAAGCAGGCGTCTGTGTTTGGGGAAATCTGCCAAAGGAAGCATTTCTCTTGAAGTTCTCAGTACCGGGGTTGATCTTTGAGACCAATATCTTGACCCTGGAAATGATTTCGGAAAACAGTTGGCAATCCGTGCAGATTTTTCCATCTGGGACTGATATGATCTGAATACCAGATTCCAGCCTGCAGCTTAATTGGTGTATTTTGCATCAATTGAAGCTTGCTGTTCTCTTCAAGCATAGATCTAGGCAGAGAGCACTGCAGTAGACTAGCAGTAGACTGTGCTGGTTAAAGACTGGGTTGATCATTTGAATTTCAAATGAAAATGAGAAGAGGGAAAACTTCAGCTATCCTTGAAAAAGTCTGAAATCTTCCAGTAAAAGATAACAGTACACAAGGAGTAAAGGGGGTAAATATTTTGCATTAAGATTAATGGTAATATTTGTTACAATGGATTCTTTAAGTTTGCTTCACAGAATAAATTAAATAAACTAATGTTCTTTATAATAATAGCAGCCAATTTTAGTCTGTTTTGTCAAAACTGTTTCACACAGAAGACACTTCCTGACAGCTAATTTAATTAAATCCCCCATTTCTTTCTCCTCCAGGATTTCCCCCACCCTTCCATTTAACAGTAACTACCTTTAGTGAATATTTTAAGACAACCTTCTCTAAGTGATGCTCTCAAATACAGTGGGGCAAAAAAGTATTTAGTCAGCCACCAATTGTGCAAGTTCTCCCACTTAAAAAGATGAGAGAGGCCTGTAA